CCGTGCGGTGGGCTTAGAACTTTCTACTCAAAAGCGAAGCAACATATAGTACATGTATACTGTGATCCTACGTATATTACTGTACGTTCCAAAACAACACCGCACACAGTATCCTTAGTGCTCACATGTTATGGTAGACACGACCAGGGTTTAACGTGATCTGCAAGAAGAGCACCATCTTATCCGGAAAGATTCTGTCTATAATCTCATTTGAGCGCATTGCTCCCAAAATGACACGAATCGGAGGCGCGCGTGGCTGCAAAGCTAATATATGCTGTTCAGAAGACGGGTCAGTATCAATGATGTTTCGAAATTGGCATACATCGGTGAGGAATCCCAGGTTACCTGGAGTAAATATCCTGCTCAAATCTTACCATCTGCACGCAGGCAATCGACACCGTATCTTTGATTGCGACGGTCTATTAGAGCACGGTTGGTCGGCTCCTCGCGTGAGGTATCTTTTTTCAGGTAGTATTTGCCGATGGTCGCCACAAACACCAATATTATGCCTTGAAATTGTTCCGCTGAACTCTTTATGATATTACTGAAGGGCAATCCACTATCTTCCGTATACATTGATCTTACGTGCATAGCTGACGTTCTTACTGGCTTATTTTCGTAGCTACTGACTGACAGAGTGGCGTAGATCCTTTCCGAGTGGCATTTACTGGTTCCGATATGTATGCCGAACAAAGGAAGCCAGATGACTGTAGGATGATTATCTGATCGTATACATCTTAGACTTGAATCGAATAGTAGCTCATGTACATTAAATGAAGTACTTTCGCTGCCTACTTATCAAATCGGCGTGCTTTTTTATGTGTCCGGTCCTTATCCCGCAAGGTGTATATACCACGTGCTCGTGATAGCCAGAACATATGCATAGGGCCACTGTCGCTTTCTCGGTGCATTTGCGTCGTCGTGCTGGCTTACGGTGCTTACGCTTCTGATGTGTCAGTCTATATGACCAAGCAGGTCACTAACTGGACACAGGCCATACTGCAGCGATACAGGTATGCTGAACGCGCGTCTGCTAGCAGTAGCCAACGCGATATATACGCGCGAGGCGGGCACACCTTATAGTCATCCGCGACTCAACCGAGCTCTTATTTCGGTCATTATAGGCAGGGCACTAAAGTACAGTACTGCTTACAGCCACATCGACTTACCACGTCCATCTGTACGGTCTGCACTGTCACGCAGTGTAGTATCTATGTAAACAGCAGCTTATTCGTCGCACGTAGTTCCCACTCAATACTGTGGCTTAAATTGTGAGCGCTATAAGAGCTGATGGTACAGATAACATGGTTTTGCGTGTGCCCACGTGAGCGAGTGTACGTGCCATCTACGGTGACGCGTATACAGATAGGGACAGCCAGCTTGCAGAGGTACACAGTACATACCTCGTGCTAGTTATTATATGAAACGCGCTACGCTCTATAGGTGCGTCAACACGCTTGGTAGCGCCACAGTCAGCTTACAGTATGTGCGACCCCAAGCCTTGCACCGTCAGCCAGTATACAAAACTATGCGGGGTAAGGGGATATAAGGATGTATATCCAAATCACCTGCTCTTCTGCTGCTTCTTTTGCTCAATGTACCTGACGTTTCGGGCGGTCAGCTTGCGAGGGCGGCTGTGTCTATTTTGCTTCTTGAGGTACCAGTCAGGGCCCATCACCTTTTCGACGTTTGGCAGGCTTTCCTGGCGGCGCACGTTGGTCGAATCAGGTGGTGGGGGCTTTTCCTCCCAGAACTCAACCGCTTTTGGGCCGTTCTCGCAGACAATACAGCGCCGCACGATGTCCCGCCCGCTGATTGTACGGAATGCGTAGCCGTACTGCAGCTTCCCGCAGCAGACGCAGCGCGCTCGGGGATCCGTCGTAGACCGCTGCGGGTTCAGCAGAAGCGGGTCAATCTTCGCCTCGCATTGCTTGCACGTAGGGCCCACCATTTTGCAAACGTGCAGATGTTAGCAAAATATTTTGTTTTAACCAATTACTTGCGTCCAAATATTAGCCAATAGCTTGGAAATATAAGGCTGGTATTTATTATTTAGAAACATATTAAAAAGTTGATACTAACGTTTTGGCTTTGCTATAATATATTATTATCAGATTTCCAAACAAAAACATACTTTACATGCAATTTAAATTGCCTAAGACAATTATCTATCGTGCGCGCATGCATCTGTCGGATGTGGTGCACGGGAGCAGATAGCGAAATGCCCGTGCAGCTGCGCGCCTTCATTGCACGGTGGCAGTGGTGAGTTCCAGGTAAAGTACAAAATATATATATTCGCAAAGTCGCTACAAAAAGCGCTGGTCGTGAAGTCTACTTTAATATTAAAAATACTATCGTCTCTACTTTAGAAAATGTGTGGAAAATAGCATCGCTGAGCTCTTACAAATGCGGCCTGTAAAGCTTATATTAGTAATATTAATACTATTAATATCGTCTTTACTTCGAAAAGTGTGTGGAAAATAACATCTTAGAGCTCTTACAAAATACTGGTCTGTGAAGTCTACATAAATAATATTACATATCTCTATTTGAGAAGTGTGCAGAGCTCTTAGAAAATAAAGTGGTTACTGTGCCCGATTTGCAGTACATACGACAGGTTTTGCGTAGCTGAACGCAATAATCAAGTATCTGCTGGCTGTTTGCAACCAATTGATGCGTTTCGTGCTCGGCAGAAATGTTTACCTTACGTCCAATCGCGAATGCGAGAGGCGGTCTGATCGTGCGACAGATCCAGTCAGTGTCGCAGGTCGGCAGGTATTGCCCAATCAGGGCGCGAGTTAATTGTGTCACGCTTTTGGATATATTTGTAATTTTAGCATAGTTAGGTCGAGTCAGAAAGGTAGGCACGGTCGGTACGATGGGAGGAAACTGTATTAGCCAGGCCGGCTGTAGCCATGCGAAAAGGCAGGCAAAAGCAGGAAGAGAGGAAAGCGACGGACTGATTGACAGACGGACGGACGGACAGGTTACAAGGTTAGGAGGCGGGAAATGTTGTGCCCGTTTCGACGAGAGGCAGTGACCAAAGTATACGCGCGAATAACGTATAGCCGCAAGAGTTTAATCTG